TTATCTTCTCAAAATCTATCTCTTCTGACATGTTTGTTTGTCCAAAGTCTCTCTCACTACTTTCCCTATGCAGAAAGAGAATAGATCCTTCACTGGTTTTCTGTGGTTCAACTATGGCCCTATTAGAAGCGGTTGGCAAAACCTATTTGCCTACTAAGATGCTCCAGTTATCGCAAAATTTCTTCGAGTATTGACTGGTGTTGATCGATTCTATATACTAAGTTTTCTTCTTTTTGTATATTCTTATCATTTTGACTTCTGTCTTCCTTTTGATACATGTAATTTTTTCTCTTCTTCTTGTGGTTGTCATTACCTTCTTGATTACTATCAGTCGAGGTGTAATTTGGGGCCTCTTCTGTTGCTCTTGTTGTATTCTGACTATATTCTTTCTTATAGATAGAGCGCATTTCTTCATCACTATATTCTTTATCTTCTCTCTCATTCGAAACTTGTTCACGCCTTTTTCTGGTCAATTCTTCTAAAGGAGGGTCTTCTTCTAACTTATATTGTATCCAGAAAAGGTTTAAGTTGTTGTATCTAACTGGCTTCTTTTGCGCTTCTCTTATTTCTCGCTCATTAGCAAAAGTTATCTTTGCTATCTGTTTCATAAAACCGCTTCTTCTTTTTGGAATATATACTCTTTAGCTCCTTTGTCCTTGAGATTTCTTAGAAGAAGAGTTTCTGAAAGGCCTTCTGTAATTCCTGAGAGTTTTGCTATATATTTATATCTTTTGTCTCTTTTTTCGTGATCTTTTTTACCGACAGAAAGCCGTGCTAGCCTACCATCACCGATTGGTAAAACCCATGGTATATCTTGCTCTTCAAGTTTTTCACTAAATTCGACCACCAACAGAGCTCTACCGTTTCTTTGTTTAACGTATATATCCTCAATTGTGCCTAATTTTTTACACATGTACCTGATTTCTTTTACACTTATGTCTACTGGGGGATCCCAAATTGTGATACAGTTCATATTTATACGTCTATTGTGGTTGTAGTTTCTTGATGTTTGCTCGGACCTCTCTTGATATTCTCTGCTTTTGTATGGGGCTGAGTCCCCTATTTTTGTTTGTTCTTCAGTCTTGTTTTCTTTCCGTTTGCGGTTATCACTTTTTTTTTCCATATTCTTGTCTTCTCTGGGGTGTTGCTTCGAGTA